TATATCTGGCCCTTTTCCTTATCAGTCTGTATTTCCATATGCATCCAATTAGCCAATTCCTCAGGAGTTAGAGCCACCACTCCTAAACCCCATGAATAGCTTTTGCCTTGGGTAACTGATTACAATATAACAGCTGTTTCAATCCATGGATGTTTCTTATCCCATCCAGAAACCAAAGATTTCTTGTTTTCCCATTTATCCCTTTTTTCCCCCAAAACCACATACCAGTGAGTTTGGGCTGTTACAGTGAATCTCACCATTCTGACACCAAGTAAATTAATAATTTATAAGGTTCAGCACAAAGCTGGCTCCTGTGAGATAGACAGTAAAGATGTCCCAAATGTCCAACTTTTCCAAACTGCTCTACCACTCCATCATTTCTAACAGCAACTACACCCCACTCCCCTCAGTACTCTCCCCCCCATCTTTGAGTTTAGTAATTCGCTGTAATGTCTCACAGAAATCACAAACTGTAGTTACAGTTAAGTGGTTTATTAGGGAAGTAACAAGGTAAAACCTGGGATCAGGATCAACTTGGAAGTAACAGGAACAACTAAGGACACAGTTCCTCAATCAGGACAGCTTCTTCTCACCCTGTGCTGCCATGTCCTGTTGGCAGCCTTATGCCACTAGGCCCTGCTGGGGCCTTGCTGCCTCCAGGCCCAGCTGAGGGCCTTCTGCCACCAGGCCCTGCTGAAGGCCTTCTTGGGCAAGTGTTACAACTCTTAGCTCTGTGGGTTGTAAGCCCCACTGCAGCCTTCTACTGCACTGCCATCTCTCACTGTTTTCCATGTCACAGCTCTTCTCTCTCTCTCTCTCTACGTGTCTCCCTTTAAGCCTAGCAGGATGGCAAAAATAACCAATTCACTTGTTAGGGTTCCAAACACCTTATTTTTATGGTCCCACCCCCACAAGGTGGAATACATAGGAATCAAATCAACTACATCTGTGGAAAGAGACGATGGAGAAGCTCAATATCAGCAGTCAGAACAAGGCCAGGGGCCAACTGCGGAACAGATCATCAATTGCTCATATGCAAGTTCAGGTTGAAGCTGAAGAAAATTAGAGCAAGTCCACCAGAGCCAAAATACAACTTAAGTATATCCCACCTGAATTTAGAGACCATCTCAGAATAGATTTGATGCATTGAACACTAATGACTAAAGACCAGACAAGTTGTGGAATGATATCAAGGACATCATACATGAAGAAAGCAAAGGTCATTAAAAAGACAGGAAACAAAGAAAAGACCAAAATGGATGTTAGAAGAGATTCTGAAACTTGCTTTTGAACGTTGAGTAGCTAAAGCAAAAGGAAGAAATGATGAAATAAAAGAGTGGTACAGAAGATTTTCAAAGGGCAGCTCTAGACGACAGGGTAAACTATTATAATGAAATGTGCAAAGACCTGGAATTAGAAAACCAAAAGGGAAGAACACGCTTAGCATTTCTCAAGCTGAAAGAATGGAAGAAAAAATTCAAGCCTCAAGGTTGCAATACTGAAGGATTTTATGGGCAAAATATTGAACGACACAGGAAGCATCAAAAGAAGATAGAAAGAATACAGAGTCACCATACTAAAAAGGGAAACCCTGGTGGCATAGTGGTTAAGAGCTATGGCTGCTAACCAAAAGGTTGGCAGTTCAAATTCACCAGGCGCTCCTTGGAAACCCTATGGGGCAGTTCTACTCTGTCCTATAGGGTTGTTATGAGTTGGAATCAGACGGCAACAGGTTTGGTTTTTTTTGGGTTTTTTTTGGTACTAAAAAGAATTGGTCGATATTCAACCATTTCAGGAAGTAGCATATGATCAAGACCCGATTGTACTGATGGAAGAAGTCCAAGCTGCACAGAATGCACTGGCAAAAAACAAGGCTCCAGGAATTGAGAGTTTTACAACTGAAATGTTTCAACACATGGATGCAGCACTGGAGGTGCTCACTCGTCTATGCCAAGAAATTTGGAAGACAGCAACCTGGCCAACCTACTGGAAGAGATCCATATTTGTACCCATTCCAAAGAAACGTAATCCAACAGAATGCAGAAATTCTCGAACGATATCATTAATATCACACAGAAGCAAAATTTTGCTGGAGATCTTTTAAAAATGGTTGCAGCAGTACATTGACAGGAAACAGTCAGAAACTCAAGCCAGATTTAGAAGAGGATGTGGAACAAGGTATATCACTGCTGGTGTCAAATGGATCTTGGCTGAAAGCAGAGTATACTAGAGAGATGTTTACCTGTGTTTTATTGACTTTGCAAAGGCATTTGACTGTGTGGATCATAACAAATTACGGATAACATTTCAAAGAATGGGAATTCCAGAACACTTAAGTGTGCTCATTGCGGAACCTGTACATAGATCTAGAGGCGGTCATTTGAACAGAACAAGAGGATACTGTGTGGTTTAAAGTCAGGAAAGGTGTGCATCAGGGTTGTATCTTTTCACCACACTTATTCAATCTGTATGCTGAGCAAATAAGAAGATGGACTATATGAAGAAGAAAACAGCATCAAGATTGGAAGAAGACTCATTAACAACCTGCCATATGCCAATGACACAACCTTGCTTGCTGGAAGTGAAGAAGAAGCACTCACTGATGAAGATCAGAGTACGGCTTTCAGTATGGATTGCACTTCAACATAAAACAAAAACCCTCACAACTGGACCAATAAGCAGCATTATGAAAAACGGAGAAAACATTGAAGTTGTCAAGGATTTCATTTTACTTGGATCCACAATCAACATCCATGGATGCAGCAGTCAAGAAATCAAACGACACATTGCATTGGGCAAATGTTCTGTAAAAGAGCTTTTTAAAGTGTTAAAAAGCAAAGATGTCACTTTGAGGACTAAGGTGTGCCTGACCGAAGCCACGGTATTTTCTGTCTCCTCACATGCATGCGAAAGCTGGAGAGTGAATAAGGAAGATGGAAGAAGAATTGACGCCTTTGAATTATGGTATTGACGAAGAATACTGAATACAGTATGGACTGTCAAAAGAATGAACAAATCTGTCTTGGAAGAAATACAGCCAGAGTGCTCCTTAGAAGCAAGGATGGCGAGACTTCATCTCATGTACTTTGGACAGGATATCAGGAAGAACCAGTCCTTGGAGAACAACATCATGTTTGGTAAAGTAGAAGATCATGGAAAAAGAGGAAGACCCTCAGGACATGGATGGACACAGTGTCTATCACAGTGGCCTCAAGCATAACAACGATTGTGAAGATTGCAGGACCCGGCAGTGTTTCGTTATGTTGCACATAGGGTCGCTTCAGTCAGAATCAGCTCGATAGCACCTAATAACAACTCCCACAAGGGTGCCAGGCACCTTAATTACATTATTAAAGTAAGCTATCTAATCCCCTTGGTGGGCCACAAACACCTCATTTGCATAGTACCACCCAGTCTTGGTGAGAGTTACAAAAATTATGGCTAGAAGGGCATAATAAGTAATTCACTGCACCACAAACTGTACTCAATTTTAGGTGTTGGGAAACTTACACTATAATAGGTCAGATAGTAAATATTTTAGGCTTTCCAGACCACACATGGTCGTGGTGTTTTTTACTGTATATATTTGCTTGCTTTTTTTACAACACTTTGAAAATATGAAAACCATTATTATCTCATGAGCCATTCAAAAACGGGTTGTATGCTAGATTTGTTGTACTGGCTGTGGTTTGTTTATTTCTTCTCTAGTAAATATGTTTATTACAGAGGCATGGAATAGCAATTTTGAACCTACTTTACATATATACTAGGGTTGAAGAGAAAAGTAAATCAGTGTTAGATAATGGCAGTCAGATTTCTAACTCTCAGAGAAGGAAGGTAAAACTAACCTAAGAGGAGAAGACTAGAATGAACCCTAATGTTGCTGGATTAGATATGACTATAACACAGACACTCACAGTTACGTTAGTATATATATTATTAGGTAGATACAGAAATACTTAGAGGTATGTGTGTATACGTGGGTTATTATGTGGGATACATTTGTAGCTGTGACCACTGAGAGGACCCAGAGGCAATGATGCCACAATAGCAATGAGAATACCCTATTCAATTCTCAGTTTTTAAATACCACTCTCCAATAAAAGGAACCTGGGCTCCATGAGAAATGGCTGATTTTAGGGCTGCAACAGGAAACAAACAAGTTGAGCCTGGAGCATCTTGAAGTGACAGAGAGGAAAGAATTGCTTCCAAAACAAATGAATGGGAGCTGGTCAAAGGGACACAGGAGCCAACCTGCAATAGCTCCCAATGGCTAAAGCTGGAATTTTTTGACAAAATAAATAATGATACAAGGATTACAATCCAAAGTAGAAGATAAATATGCATTAGCTCTTCTAATATTAAAAATATACTGAATGACTAAATAAATAAATGGGAGAAAAGACAAATCTTCCTTACAGAAAAGTCTAAAGGGTGGCAAAAAGCTATCGACCTTAGTATTTTTGAACTCTGAATTCTGTTCCTGCCTTGGGAATAATTCTGTTCCGACTTTCCCACTGGCTTCAGAACTTTACTGCCTTTTATTGGCCTCACCTTTGGTGGCCTTTCCCCTAGGTCCCCAGTGCAAATAGAGGCTTATTTTACCCGCTTTTTCTCCTCGTCTCTGTTGGCCACTCTCAATACCGTACCACCATCTCCAAATCTTTTTCTGTCTTTAAAAGCCGCTTACTCAAGTCATTTGCCTTCAGCAGCTTTCCGAGGTTGTACGCTTACCGGGTTTTTTTCTATTTTTTTTTTTTTTGGGCGGGGGGTGTTGGGTGGGGTCTTTTCCCTTCCTAGGAGCACGTTTCCGCTGTAGAGTCACTTGAACTCTCACTTGTACCTATCCAAACTGTTTTGTTGTTTTTTTTTTTTTTGGTGAACAAAATTGTAGAAGGGCGCGGCTATATTACTTCTCGGCCAGCCAGCTGAAAGCAATTTAATCCGGTCCATGATTTCCTTGTGAAGCTCGAGCCTCTGAAAATCTATCCCTTTTCCGCAAGGGCCGAGGAGCCAGGAAACCGGACAGTTTTCGTGACTTTCTCGGCTTCCAGCTCACCCCTGGCTACCGGTATAAAAGAACGTCACTTTGCCTTCTGTACGGCTGTTATCAAAATATGGCCGCCTCCGCAAAAGGCGCAGACATATTACCTCCAGAGGTCGCGTCGTAAATCCAATTGTTCGCGGTCCTTCAGAAGTTGCAGATTCTCGCCGGCCGCCGTAGGCGCAAGTGGTTTCTAGGCAAGAGCTCGAGAAGTAGAACCCGTTAATGGAAGTAAGTGCAGTGTTTGGAAAGTCGTGGTTCAGGAGAAAAGCAGGCCAGTGTGTGTTTTGTCCTTGGAACAGGGCGAGGGAGATGTGTGGACGTGATGTACTGAGGACCCATGGAGTTCCTCAGTGGAATCCCGGCGTGGAGGTGTTTGGGGCAAGCAGGTGGGAGTCCGGTGCCTTTTGGGTGTAGAAACGAAAAAGGAGTTCTTTAAACACAGTGTATTAAATGGATAATATCTGCTAGCTGACTGGCACTAAATTCGTTGTTGGGGAGCGAAAGAAAATTTTTAAAGAAAACGAAGGAAGCGCTAACAAGTTCTGAGGGATTGGTAAACGAGAAGTCTTCATTTTGGGGGGAGTGATTTATAAAAACGGCGAAAGATTACTCTGGTTACTATAGGGTGTTGGTTTCTTTAGAACTGGTTGGCTTCGATCGACTGGGTCAGAGAAACTTTTAACGGTCAAACTGACATAAACCAGTCTCTTAGGTCCGAAATAGTGCATTCCTGGATGGCGCAAGCATTTTGCAGGTGGCTGTAACCTAAATGTTGGCGATTGGAACCCAGCCAGCAGCTCTGGGGAAGAAAAGGCCTGACGGTCTACTTCCGTAGAGATTTGTTTGCTGTATTGAGTGGAGTTGATTTCGACTTATAGTTGACCCCATGTGACAGAGTAAAACCGCCCCATAGGGTTATCTTGGCTGTGATCTTCACAAAAGCAGAGCAGGCCTTGTCTTTTTTCCCTGCGGAGCCGCTGGGTGGGTTCTAACCGCCAACCTTTGGTTAGCAGCCGAGCGCTTACCCATTGCTCCACCAGGGCTTATAGCCAAGGTTATAGGCAAGAAAACTTTATGGGGCACAGTTCTACTTTGTCACACATGGGGTCGCAACGACTCGATGGCAGCTAACAACAACATAGTCTCTTGAGAGAGGTCAGACTTTACCCAGGATACTTGGCATGAATTGTGTGCAGCTCCGAAAAATAGCCCTGTGAAGTGTCCCAGTTTACCGGGAGAGTAGCTGAAATTTATGGCTTGAGTTTGAACATTTAACAGGCGTGAGACCTGGGATGAGCACCTCTGTGTAAAGGTTAAGGCTGTCCCGACTGTCAGGGTACGGGATCTTTGCAGATCACTGTGCTTCTAAGGAGTGGAGGTGGTGTTTACCGTGAATGCGGTGTGGGCTTCAGAATTTAATGTGAGGCTCAGCGATGTTGGGGGGCACAGGGAGGGGATGGACATCGGGTCCAGATTTGGCGTTAATGTGGAGGTAGGAGTGATCTGTGTCTGTGATACAGAGACTTGTAAGGACTGAAGCTTTGGAGGCCCAGGACCCCAGGCTGGTGGTTGGATTGAGGTTTGAACCTGGACTGCTGGGATAGAAACCAGTACAGGCAGTAGTTTGAAGGCCTTGATTTAGATAATCATATGTCTTTTCTCCTCTAATTCGTGGGTTGGCTAAGTAGAGATGGAGGGACCAATCCAGTCATGCCCATTGGTTTATGTATGGTGTATGGCTACTTTCCTGTCATATACAGGTAGTTGCTCAATAGAATTCCATTGTTTGAATATACAGCCAAAGCCCATTGCCGTCCAGTCCATTCAGACTCATAACAACCCTGTAGGACAGAGTAGTGCTGCTCCATAGGGTTTCCAAGGATGTGATCTTTCGGGAAGTGGACTGCCACATATTTCTCCTGTGGAGTGGTTGGTGAGTTCAAACTGCTGACCTGTAAGTTAGCAGCTGAGCACGTTAACCACCATGTTACCAGGGCTCCTGAATGTAGAGCAGTTGTTTCTAATCTGTGACAGAAACTTTAGGGCCCATAAAACTTCACACACATGCACTCTTTCTACTTTGCTGACTGAATCTCTGTTTTGTTAATTATTCATACCTCTGGCAAGTTTATTACTAAGTCTTGTGCATCTTAATGTGGGACAGTGAACTTGATTTGGCCCTTTGACTCAGGTTTCTGAAGATAACTGGAGCAATCAAGATACCTTTGTTTTCCAAAATAGCCAGGCAAGTATAGGGTACACCGACCCCATACCAGGTGAACTAACTTCAGGACGGGAGGTGGAAGGCTTATATAGTCATGCACATTTATTTATTGGATGGATCATAACTATGCATTAAGACCCAAGTCATGTATATGCATTGAGGTTTGGAAAACTAGGAGACCTGGGACCTTGGAGTGCTGTCTTTGGAGTCTCCTGGATTGGGGAGAAAATCTATGCACAGGGGAGGGAGGTGCATGGCCCTGGGGACAATGGAGGCCCAGTGCAGGGACCTTTTCCAAACCTTGGGTGATGTGTGTCTTCATTTGTATCCTTTCTGGTTATAATAAATGGGTAACTGTAAGTATAGTAATAGCTTCCGTGAGGTCTGTGAGTCATTCAACGAATTACTGAGCCCACCAGGGCTAGTGAAAGCCAGCAGAGAGGCTGGTGTTTGCCTTTTTGGCAGGAGCTGAAGGACAGAGTCCTAACTCGGGGAGACCCAGCTCTAGGCGGTTAGGGTCAGAGAAGGAAAGGGTCACGTGGATGTCTGGTGTCAGAATGATGAAGTGGGAAAGTAGGGATATGAGTTATCTTCACATTTTGGAAATTACCTTATGTTGGCTATTATTCATACACTTAGCCAATCATTTTGGTTCCAGTTCCCATTAGGAGTGACAGGATTGGCATGGAAATGAGTTGAGGTGTATGGTACAATTCTAGCCAAGTATATATGTGTATATATGTGAAAATCTGCTTGGTTTGTGGAAGAGCATTTTCTCTTTTAAATAGGCAATTCCTTGAATGTCTTTTTCCACATAGTTGATCATATTGTCTGAAGATAACCTTAATTTTCTTTCCTACTTTGTAATGTTTACATCTTATTTTTATCCTGATGCATTGGCTCAGCCCTTCTGCGAGAATGGCTTGGGAGCAACATCTGACCTCCTCTCACTTCAAGAGGGGGAGAGACACTCTGTCAGCATCAACAGCCCAACGCTGATTCCTGTGAGGTGAAAGTCAGACATGCCTCCACCCTCCAACCTTTTTTACCAATTCTGACACCATCTGTCCGTCCCACAGCACTCTCTACTTCTCTGCTGGGTTAATTCATTGCAATGGCCACAAAGAACTCACAGACCATACTCACGATTATGGGGTTTATTAGGGAAGTAACAAGTTACAATTCAGGATCAGAAAATACTCAGGACACAGTTCTTCCATCAGGACAGACCATTCTTAGCTGTGCTTGCAGGCAGGTCTCTCTCTGGCCCTTCAGCCCATTGGCCCTTCTGCCTGGCCTCTGCCCTGCTTGGACAAGTTTTACAAAGCTTTTTCGCTTTGCCAGTAAATGCCCAGATGCACTCCACTCTGCCAGGAATTTTAGGCCCGAAGGCACTCAGCTCTTGCTCCCTGGGCCAGGAAGCCCACTATGCCATCTGCTGCTCTCCTGGTTCTGCTGCCACTGCTTTTTGCTCTTGTTACTACTGCGCCACCGTCTCTTGCTGTCTTCTGTGTTATAGCTCCTCTCTCTCTCTCTCCCCATGTCTCTCTTTAAGCAGAGTGGGGGTTCCATACATCTTTTTTACATGGCCCCACTCCCATAAAGGTGCTGTGTACCTTATTTGTGTTATTAGCAAGCTACCCAATCCCCTTGTTGGGCCACAAGTACCTCATTTGCATAGTCCCCACCCAGTCATTTGGTGAGAGTTACAAAGACTATGACTAGAAAGGCCATATGAAGTAATTCACTGTAGTGTACCTTCAATGCAAAATAGGAAAGTAGTATTATAGTTGGGATACAAAACTTTGTCTTGTTGCCTACTTATAGAACTCACTGCTATACTGTCTAGAGTTAACATCGTTCCAGGAGGTAGTGTCATAAAATTATAAATTCATCTAGGACTACAAACTTAATGAAATAATGAGGTTTGTATTATTATTTCAAGACTAACAAATATCTAATCTGGGTCATACTCCCATTAATTCCTTATATTCTTTATTTATGTCACTTGCGTTTCAATTTTGATCGTCTCAGTACAAATGTGAATAATTATTAGTCTTTTCAGAGAACAAGGTTTTTGTATTGGTGCTCTTCCATTTCTCTCTTAATTTTTCTAAATGTATTTTTTTTTTAAAAAAAAAAAACTACAACTCAATTGTGAAGTGACAGATACAAGTAAGCAATCATTGCTTATGCAAAGAAATAGAACATTGCCAGCACCCAGTGTTCCCAGTCGTATCTGGACCTCACACCCAAAGGTAGTTACCATTCTGGTCTTAATCAGACACACTTCCAGCATTTTGTTTATAGTTTTGCCATGTAATCATAATTTATTTAGTTTCGTATATTTTCAACTGAAAACAAATTGTGTATCATGGGTTTTTTTTGCGGGGGGTCAGGATTCTTTTGCTCAGTATTATATTTGTGGGAATCATTCATGTTGTTAGGACTTTTCTTTATAACAAGAATTAACAAACTTATTCTGCAAATGGCTATATTGTAAATGTTTTAGGCTTTGTAGGTCACAGGAGGTCTCTTGTATGATTCTTTATTTAGTTTTATAATCCCTTTAAATGTTAAAAAGCATTTTTCCCTTTCAAAGGATGTAGTTGCTCTATAGCATTCCATTGTTTGAATATATAACAGTTTTTCCAACTATTAATGTACATTTGGGCTGTTAGAAGTTTAAAAACCCGTTGCCGTCGAATTGGTTCTGACTCATAGTGACCCTATAGGACAGAGTAGAACTGCCCCGTAGGGTTTCCAGGGAGCACCTAGTGGATTCGAACTGCCGACCTTTTGGTTAGCAGCCGTAGCTCTTAACCACTCTGCACCAGGGTTTCCTATTTGAAGTTTGGGCTATTAATGCTGCTGTAAAAATTATACATGTCTTGTGGTTCAAATATACACTTAATTTTGGAGGATATATACCTGGATGTATACCTCAGACTTAAATTGTTATTTCAAAGGGTATGTATAATGTCATGACACCTAAGTGTTTTCTGGGGCCCTGGTGGCACCTTGGTTAAGTGTTTGGCTGCTAACCAAAGGGTCGGCAGTTTGAATCCACCAGCTGCTCCCTGGAAATCCTACCAGGCAGTTCTCTGTCCTGCAGGGTCACTATGAGTCAAAATTGACTCGACAGCAACAGGTAAGTGTTTTCTACAGTAGTTGTACCACTTTGCCATTCCACCAGGAGAACATTCTTCGCTGTATAGTTAGTGCTTTATGTGGCCTGTTTAAAATATGTTTCCATACCATAATTTCATCTTATCTTCTTAAATCTTTATTGATTTTCCTTTCTTGTTGAGAGTCACAGTAGACCCCATATTGATATTTGTGTATGTTGTGAAGTAGGGATCAACGTTATTTTTTTTCTTTCACGGATATATCTGATTATACAAGCACCATTTTTTATTTATTTATTTATTTATTTTATTGTACTTCAGGTGAAGGCTTACAGAACAAATACTTTCTCATGAAACAGTAGTACACATATTGTTTTATGACATTGGTTAACAACCCCACAACAGGTTAACCCTCTAATTTCTCAACCTTTTTTTTTTGGTGAAAATACACATAGCCAAAGATAACACCATTTCAAAAATTTCTACATACACAGTTCAGTGACATTGACTGTGCTCTTCCAATCGTGCTGTTATTCTCACTTAAGATGAAGGCTTACAGAACAAAATAGTTTCTCATTTAACAGT